TTTCTTTCTTTCTTTCTTTCTTTCTTTCTTTCTTTCTTTCTTTCTTTCTTTCTTTCTTTCTTTCTTTCTTTCTTTCTTTCTTTCTTTTTGCTTTTTGGTGAGGCAATCAGGGCTAATTGACTTGCCTACAGTCACACAGCTAGTAAATGTCAAGTGTCTGAGACTGAATTTGAACTCAGGTCCTCCTGACTCCAAGGCCAGAGCTCTATCCACTGCACCATCTAGCTGCATCCACCTCTAATAGCTATGATGTAATTCAGTATCACTCTCAGGCTCTTTTTGTTATTGTAATTTTTAAAAAAATTTTAAACTTAAATACAAAATGAGAAAAGAAAAAAAAACATTGCCTTGTATATAGCAGACCATAAGAGAAGATTCAATATAAAACAACAAATTTCCATTTCAAGAAAATCTATATAATAAATACTACACATTATTTTCAAAGCTGCCCAGCTTTGCTTCCTTGTTGGTTGTCTTTTGTTCTCTGTGTGCACCTTTTACTTTATTTTTTCCTCCTCTCCGCCCACCCCAAGAAGGCTACAATTAAGCACGGATATATATACATATACACTCATACACATATATGTAAGACAGTACTATGCTTATTTCCTCTTATCATTTGTTTCTCTGAAGGTGGATAGCATCTTCCTTCATAAGTCCAAGTTTTTCCTTGTTTTTCTAAATCAACCAGCTCATCATTTCCTACACCACAGCAATGCTCCAACCCAGTCACATCCTATCTGAGAAATCATCTATGAAAGTTTTTTCCCTCAATTTTCTGCATTCTTTCTATTCTTGGCTACATAGGTTTTACTTGTACAAGAAAATTTCAATTTGCAAAAATTGAAATTACCCATTTTACACTTTGACAATGCTCTCACCTTATGATGTAGTTTAAGGTCTGATACTGCTGAATCTACTTCCTTTATATTTTTTTGCCCTGGTTTCTTTGAAGTTCCTGAACTTTTATTCTTCCAAATTCTCGGTCTCTTTTGAAAATAATTTCTCCCTGTCCTTTTGGGTTTCAGTTTCACTCTGACAAAGGGAGACTATTGTCTGTATCTTCCCCTCTGACAATAAATCTCGTATCTCTTTCTAGATCACTTCGCAATGTCTTTCCCGTTGAGTCTCTAGAAGAATATTTGAATCTCCGAATCTTTGACTTTAGGGATCATAACTCCACAGCTGAAAGGTACCTCAGAGGCCCTCTTAGTCTAGTCCCTTTATTTTACAGATGAGGAAACTGAAGCCTAAAAGGTTAAGTGATCTGCCCAAGGTCATGCAGGTAGTAAGTATAAGAGGCAAGATTTGAACTTCGCTGTCCTCTGATTCCAGACCCAGAGTTTTTTTCAGTATGACCACGCTGCTTTCATCTCTCAGCATCTCTCTGACAAAACCCGTCTCTGATTATCTGTCTGTGTGCCTCTCTGGTTCTGCCTCTGTCTCACTCATAATATTAGTAAAACAGCCTCAGTCCCTGCCTCGATTCTTTCTGACACTTTTTGATCCTCCAGTCTTTGTGACTACAAAATGCCAAAACACCAGGATGAAAACTGACCCAAAACAACCTGTCAATATGTAAGATTTGGGGCCTAATGTTAAACCTGATATTTGGCCAGGGGATCAATTGACAGCATTGAGTAATGCTAGTTGGGGACAGGGGAAGGCAGTAACATTTGGAGCAAAATAAAATATGTGAAATCTATTTTTATAAAGATAACTGCTAAACAAAGTAAGTATTTTGATACACATATGTTCACTGTTAATGTTTAGAGAGGAAAGAGTCATGAACATTGAAGCCTTCCAGGAGAACCACTTAGGTCATCTCAGGAGACACCAGAGTTATATCAGAACAGTGTAGGAAATGATGATCTGGATAAGTACCAAATTTGTTTGGTTGTTATGTGGCAATAATTTGCCTTTCTTTGCTCACTCTAAATTTTGTTTATATTGTCTTTTCTTCTCTTAAGGGCTTACTAGTCCAAGTTGGAGAAACTCTTAGGGGTGGGGGGGGTGTGTTGGGGAAGGTAAAAGCAACTCATTAAATAAGGCCAAGCCTTTACACTGAGGCAATAGTAGGTATGTAGGGGCGTAGCGGATTATGAAGAGGTTGGGTCGTATCAGCGGTAAGCTGGAGGAGGGGAAGAGGAGTCAGGGTCACCTGGGGGGGGCACTTGAGTGAGAAAGGCCAGGCTAGATGGACATGAATTGGATGGGGTGGGGGAGGCAGAAATGGATGGGAGTTAATTAAGTGGGGGCAAAGAGGATCTAAGACCCAAGATACTGTTAAAGTTACTGAATTTAGTCTGAGTCATGCAAATTCCATGAAAGGCACACAAACAAATCTGTTGAGACTCATAGCCTAAGCAGAGCTGTAGTCAAGGTTGGATGGGGGGGTGTGCTTGAGTGGAGAGGAAAAGAGGGCATTTTCCTCTGCCTGCCGCCTCAAACCAACCTTAACTTTTTCCAGTTCCTGTTGCGATGAAAGAGTAAGGATGCTGGATTCAAGGTCCTATTAGGTTGCTCGAAGCTGCCTAGAGCGTTCTCTGGATGGGAATCAGATTGGGGAAGCCTTCAAGCTCTGTGGTGAGTGTGAACTATGATCTCCCATTGGGGTAGGAGTGAGGGGTAGCGGGCTCGGTGTTTTTTTGGGAGGTGGGGAGGGAAGAAGAGCCCTGTCCAAGGAGCTGGGGGTCAGGGGTGGCGCGCTGGGGCAGCCTTACCCGAGATCTGGAGGCAGCAGAGGAGGAATAGTGAAGCGGTCCATGCCACCACCCAAGGCAGCATCATCCTGGGGCTGACAGCATTGTCTGCTGAGCGCTCCCTGTGTGGGCTGCCCCAGCGCAGCCAGTCACTTAAGCCTCTTCTTTCCCGGCTCAGCTGAAACTGAGCACGAAAGGACTGACGTCTGTCCCGGAGGGCGTGGCTTCTCTTCTGAGCTGGTCTCAGCCTTTGGGAGTTGCCTGGCCCGGGGAGGCTTCCCCAGCACCGCGCTCGCTCCCAGCTGCACCAGACTCTGGTCCATTCTCAGATGCTGAGTCAGCCCTTTGCAAGTCGGGACAATTTCAGCATCTCGACTTTTTAAAATTTTAATTTTTATGGCTATACTTTTACATCTCTTAGATTCTAATTCTACCTCCCTCTCCCCTCCTTGTAATGAAGAATTTTTAAAAAAAAGAGGAAGAGGAGAAAAAAATACCGCAGCGATCAACATCGAAAATACCTGACGTTATATGCAATGTTCCAAACCGTGGACCTGCCCCTCCCTTTCACCCCCGCAAAGGAAGGGGATGGAAGGGGGCAGGGCGGGTGTATGTGTATCGTATCAGATCTCTTCTTCATGGCCAAGCTTGTCTTTATACTTTCGCAGCATTTAACCAAACCCCAGACTTCAGAAGACTAAGTCTTCAAACTTTTGGGGTTGGTGGAGAGGTTGCTAAGGGGTTGGGGGAGGGAGCTGGGATTTGGTCAATAGGAACGCACCTACTTTTCCTGCAGAACAGATTGTCTTGGGAGGACCTTATTCCAGGGCCTAATCTTACCCTGTCTCTCGTTCCCATTTGTTTCCCCTTCAACGGAAAAAAAAAAAAAAAAGTTATAGACAGATCTTGCTCAGTAATTGGGTAGGGGATTGTGTTAATAGTATAGCTGTGATGCTCAAATGAGATAGTATTTGCAAAGTGCTCAGCACAACGCCTGGCACATAGTAGGCTTTTAACAAATGCTAATTTCATGACCTACCTCTCCCCTTTCCTAAAAGAAAGGGGGAATTGGAGCAGGGCAGACAATTTTTCTTGCTCAGTAACGGAGTAGGACATTGTATTAATAGTATAGTGTAGTATAAATTGTATAGTATAATATAGTATAGCTAGTAATATAGTAAATTTAAGAACTTTAAACTTTTTTCCAATTACATGTAAAAACAATTTTTGTCATTTGATTTTTAAAATTGTGAGTTCCAAATTCTCTCCTCAGCCCCCTCCCATTGAGAAGGAAAGTAATTTGATATAGGTTACATGTGCAGTTATGCAAAACAGATTTCCATATTAATCATGTTGTGAAAGAAGATATAGACCTCTACCCCTTTCCAAAGCCCAAGAAAAATAAAAAAGTATGTTTCACTATGTATTTAGACTCTATTAATTCTTTCTCTGGAGATAGCATTTTTCATCATAAGTCCTTCAGAATTGTGTTGGGGCCCTGTATTGCTGAGAATAGCTAAGCCATTTATGGTTAATAACTGGACAATATTGCTGATACTGTGTCAATGTCCCGGTTCTACTCACTTTACTTTACATCAGTCCTTGTAAGTCTTTCTAGATTTTTTCTGAAAGCATCCTGCTCAGTCCTTTGTTACAGCACAGTAGTATTCCATCACATATCACAATGTGTTCAGCTGTTCCCGATTGATGAGCATCCCCTCAATTACCAATTCTTTGTGACCAAAAAACAGCTGCTAAAATATTTTTCTTTACATATATGTATGCCCTTTTCCTTTTTTTTTAAAGAACTGTTTTTCTAGATGTTGCCATATCAAGTACTTATAACTTCCAAGCTATGTGGAAAGAAGAACTCTCAAAATATAGATCTAGCTGAGGACATCAAAATTATGGGAGAATGGGAGGAAGTGTATCTCATTCCCTGTTGTTCTATCTGCTATTGAAGTTGCAGCAAGGATGCTTTCAGTAAGCCTATAGAAGATGAGCTTACATCCTAATACTTCTATTCATTCCAAAAGTGGTTATTTTATCCACCTGTGCAATAGTTTGTGGAACACTGAATATAAAATTTTTAAAAATAGTAGGTTAGTTACTTGTCCCAGGAGTTTTTCTCTTAATCCCACTGAAAAACTTGAGAATGAGGTAATAATGTGATGACAATAGCTGGCATTTCTGTAGTGGATTTACAAAACACTTTACATACATTATCTCATTTGGTCCTCTTAGTAAACCTATGAAGAAGATAATATATAATTAATTATAGAGATTCAAAGCAATTATAGAAGGATTAAGTGGCTTGTCTAAGGTCACATAATTAATAACAGATTTTCTGATTCTAAGGGCAGTCTCTCTTGACAGCATTATAGTTTTCATTCCATATGTGTGGCTTTCTGGACTTCTTGAGCTTCAGCTGTCTGGAAATAATGCCCACCCTTCATCCCTCTCTGTCTGTCTCTCTTCCTTTCTCTCCCTGAGGCACTGACCAGTCACCAACAGTTTTGGAGGGGCAAGGATTATACAAAGGAAAGAGTAAATCACAGGGTTTTGCTGGCTCTGAGTGGGGAGGTGGGGAAGGGGGTACCCTTACCTTGAAAGTCACAGTTGCCAAGGGAGGGATATATGTATGAGTATGCAACTGTGCTGAATAGTTCCCCCCTACTCCTTTCTTTTTTTATTCTTTCTTGCAAAGGATGGTTTGCTGGGTAGGGGAGGGGGAGGGTTATATCCAGACGAGATGGTAATATGAAAACAAAAGATAGCAATAACTTTTAATTTTTTTTTTTGGCCTAGGCAATGGGGTTAAGTGACTTGCCCAGGGTCACACAGCTAGTAAGTGTTATGTGTCTGAGGCCAGATTTGAACTTAGGTACTCCTGACTCCAGGGCTGGTGCTCTATCCACTGCACCACCTCGCTGCTCCAATAACTTTTTTTTTTTTAAAAGAATAAGTCCCATGTATATGGCCATACATCTGAAAGGATGAGTCATGGTATACATGTGTATACATGATATAAAGGGTTAATTTAATATGAAGATAGAATCATTAGTAATTTATTAGTTCCCAGGCTCACATTTAATGGGTGACTTTGTATCTTCACTGAGCCTTTTTTCACTGTCACTTTTCTCAATTCCTAGGAAGTCTTATAGCACAGCTGTGAGAATTAGGTAATATAGAATGTATGTAAAGGATAAGAATAGGAAGTGACCTGTAATTTCATTGGTATGGGATTTTCTGGCTACTCTTGGAAGCTTCCTCTATCAATGCAGGGTGCCCCCAGAATTCTAGAGGTAGAAGGAATCTCAGAAGCCATCAAGCCCACCACCTCATTTTACAGATGAGGAAACTGAGTCTCAGAGAGATTAAAGTGCCCAAGATCACACAACTAGAAGGTGTCTAATTAACCTATATGAAAAGCAATATATAAATATGAGGGTTTTGTTTTGTGTGTGTGTGTGTGTGTGTGTATTCCTTTGACTTTATTGGTGTGGAGAATGCCTTGTTTGAAAACCTCCTGCCACTGAAGTAGTTTCTTGATTGCCCGAAGGCAACTGAGAGGTTAAGTGATTTGCCCAGGGTTAGGCAATTAGTATGTGTGGAGGCTGGGCTTGAGTCCAGGTATTTCTGTCTCCAGGCCCTGTCATTTATCTGCTGTGTCTCACGGACTTTCACATGCAAGTGGTTGTAGTGGTGGTAGTTTACTGTTGAAGTATTGTGATGTAATGGATAAAGGGCTAACCTAAAAGCCTGGCTTTGGAGTCTGATTGTCCTGGGTTAAAATCCCACTTCTGACTATTACTACCTATGTCAATGACCTTGGGCAAGTCATTTAACCTTCCTGGGCCTCAGTTTCCTCATCTGTCAAATTAGGCAGTTAGTTGAGATAGACTCCGAAGTCATTTCCAGCTGTAAACTTATAATTCTATGACCTAAGACAAATCACTTTCTCTTTATGATCTTTCATTTCCTCACCAGTAAAATGAAGGGATTTGGACAAGATAGAGCATTCCAGCTCTTGGACCTACTAAGAGTGAGCCTTCGGTCATTGATGCAACCAGGCCTGGTGAGTTGGAGAGCTGGCACTTTCTGGGAAATTCCCCTCTGACTGCACCAAAGACCAAACAACATATCCTCTGTTAGCTAGTGTGTGGGAAAGCCCAGGACCACTGGTAAGATCTGACCAGAGGGGAAATAAAACTTGAGGAATGCGGGGCTGGAGGCTTTGCTGACATCTAACCCAGGTATCTCCTCATTCGAATTATTTATTTTCAGTGTCCTAAGAAAGGTCCCTTCTAACTCTAACATTCTGTGATTCTAGCAATGCCGTCCAGCCTGTCCCTGCTCCTTGTCCTCTGAAGCACATACACTGGTGTATGGTGCACACAGGATGTGGAGGATGAGTGAGATTTGGTATATCTGGGAAACCTAGTCTTTCAATGGTCCCACCCAGTGTAGGAAGAATCAAGATTCAGGTGAGCTTCAGAGAGGGATGAGAGGCAGCTCTGTGGCTGAAAAACAGGTTCTAGGAGAAAGGATAAGGTCAGAGCCAAGAATGAGCAGAGAGAATAATTGACATTCATACAGTGTTCCAAAGTTTGCAGAGGACAATGTATCTCTATCTATCTATCTCTATCTATCTATCTATCTATCTATCTATCTATCTATCTATCTATCT